CTCCCATGTTAACTCCCTCCAGAGCTGCAAACTCCAGATGTTCCTCATGCTCCTCATGACCCCCCGTGACTCCCCAGCCCTTTAACCCTCTCTGCCCTCTCTGTCCCTCTGCTCTGCCTCCCCAGCCCAGGAAAACTGGACCCTGGAGACCTTCCCTCAGTGACGTGGCTGCTCGGACACGGCCTCCCCCTGCTCCTGCTGCAGTAGCAATGCTGGTGTCCCCACGGAGCTGCAGTGAGGTGGGTGCCCTCCTTCTCCTCCTGGAACCAGCCCCTGCTGCTGCCCAGCCAAAGGGAGGGCAGCTGGACACGTGTCCCTCAGCAGGAGGGAGCACATTCCGACCTCGTGTCCATCCTGGGAGAACTCGGAGGCCGGGATGGGCAGAGCCTGAGCAACCCACTCTGACTGCAGAGTGAGGGAGTTTTTGGTGGGAATTACCTGGGGTTTGGGTCCCTCTCCAGAGGATTTCTGGAGATTTGTGACTGGACAGACAAGTTCTGTACCAGTGCCCTGCACTGCCCACCCACCCCACGCCCTTGTGCCCCTCGTGGGTGGCTTCTCGAGCTTGCTAAAAACCCAGGAATCCCCTTGGGAGCTTCCCTGCCCTTCCCTGTGCCCGTTGCTGTGTCCTGAGGCCAATTCCTGCTCCCTCACCACCTCTGCTTTCCCATGTCCAGTTCCTCCTCCCTCACCAGCTCTGCCTTCCCCATGACCAATTCCTTTCCCTGTGTCCAATTCCTCTCCCTATGACCAATTCCTTTCCCTGTGTCCAATTCCTCTCCCTGCATCCAATTCCCTTCCCTGTGTCCAATTCCTTTCCCTGCATCCAATTCCTTTCCCTGCATCCAATTCCCTTCCCTGCATCCAATTCCTTTCCCTGCGTCCAATTCCTTTCCCCCTGACCAATTCCTTTCCCTGCATCCAATTCCCTTCCCTGCATCCAATTCCTTTCCCTGCGTCCAATTCCTTTCCCCCTGACCAATTCCTTTCCCTGCATCCAACTCCTTTTCCCCCTGACCTTTCCCTCTTTCCCCATGCCCAAATCCTTTCCCCGTGCCCAAATCCTTTCCCCGTGCCCAACCCTTCCTCCCTCACCGCCTCTCTTTCCCCTCCAGGATCTCTGGGCTCTGGCAGGAGCGCGCCCCGCGCCGGTGCCCATGGAGTGAGCCGTGCCCGGGGGTGAGCGGGCACAGCAGGACGCTGAAGTTTGGCTGCCCCGGCCCCGCCAAAATCCCTCCCCGTCCCTCCCGCGCCCCCCCCGCCTCTGCCATGAATGATGCGTCGACGATGGATTATGAACTGCTCTCGCCGTCCCTGGTGGAGCACCCGGCGGGCGCCGCGGGCATGGACGCCGAGCAGAAAACTGTCTTTGCCTTCGTCATCTTCCTCCTGGTCTTCTTGGTGATGCTGATGGTTCGCTGCTTCCGCATCCTGCTGGACCCCTACAGCCGCATGCCCGCCTCCTCCTGGACCGACCACAAGGAGGGCTTGGAGAGGGGCCAGTTTGACTATGCCCTGGTGTAGAGGGCACGGCTGGGGCGAGCCCGGGCGCTCCCCGTGCCCCCCAGCCCGGCCCCGGCCCCCCCTTCCCTCCGCGGGGATGCTCCGGGCACCGCGGCGCTGAGCTCCGGGCCGGGGAGAGGCGGCGTGTCGGGGGGGGGGGGGGGGGGGAGTTTTCTAGGGGTTTCTCTCTTTTCTAAGCACTTTTCGGTTCTCTCTTTGCAGCCCGGGAGGGAGGGATGGGGGGTCGGAGGGCTGAGCCGGCCCCGCGCGGTGCCCGCTGCCCGCCCTGCCCGCGGGGCACGAGGGGACGGGACGGGGCATGGCGGGACCTGCCCTCGGCCCCCGCTCGGGGCGGCTCTGCCCGGTGCCACGGCAGAGCTTTGACCCTCTCCCCTCCCTCCTCCTGCCCCTTCCCAACCCGTCCCCCCCGTCCGCGTCCCCCGGGGAGCGCTGCCCGTGTGTGTGTGTGTGTCCCTGTAGCTGAGCTGTGTCCGTCAGGGGGGTTTCCAGGCACCAGACCCAAGTGCTGGCTTTGTTCCTCTCCGCGTGGCAGTCCCAAGAACTCCCCCCTAAAAAGGGAAGGGGAGGTGGAGACCCCCCGTGTGTGCAGCCCCCTATTTTTTGGGCCTCCAGCCCCGCAGCCGCTCTCTGCTTCCGCGGTGCCCCGTCCCTGCCCGGCTGGTGACAGTGGCCCTGAGCGAGGTGCAGCCCCGCCTGGGTGGCCCTGCTGGGATTCCAGGAGGGATCAAAGATCCCACACAACGCCTGGGAGATGCTCCTCAGCCAGCCCCGGCCTGGCAGCCCCCCCCTCCCGGTGCCCCGTGCCCCCTTCCAGCAGGACCTGGGTGGTCTCTCCGTGCCCAGGGGGTCGCTGGGGGTGGCTGGCCCTTCCCTGGCCGTCCTGATTTTGGGAATCCGAGGGGCTGTGGAAGTAGATGAGGGGGATCAAGGCTGTTTTCTCCGTGCTTGGGGAGCAGGGGTGCTCAGCTGGCCGCGGGGTGGGCTGTGGCCGTGGGCCAGCAGGAGGGTTTGGAGGAAGGGATTGGAGCCCACGGGGGAGAGAGAAGCTCTGCCCCCTCCATGGAAATAAAGCTGCACTGTGCTAACCCCACCCAGCTCCAGCTCTGCTCTTTGGTGTCCCTCAGGTCCTCGGGGGAAATCTCAAATCCTGGGGGCTGCACCATGTCCAGGGGGAGATCCCAAATCCTGGGGGCTGCCCCATGTCCAGGGGGAGATCCCAAATCCCGGAGGCTGCACCATGTCCGGGGGGAGATCCCAAATCCTGGGGGATTGCCCCATGTCCCAGGGAGAACCCAAATCCCGGGGGCTGCCCCATCTCCCAAGGGAACCCCAAATCCTGGGGGCTGCCCCATGTCCCAGTGGAGATCTCAAATCCTGGGGCACTGCCCCATCTCCAGGGGGAGACCCCAAATCCTGGGGCTCCGACACAAACCTGTCCCCCCCTCGGAGCCCCGGGAGCTGTTGGAGGGGCGGTCGGAGCCCCCGGGCCCCTGTTTTCCCTGTTTCCCCTGTTTTCCCTGTTTTCTCGTGCCAGGGGAGCGGCCCCGCTCCCAGCGCTGCTCCCGCTGCCCCCGGGAAGGTTCGGGGGGTCCCTCCCGGTGGCCGATGCGCGGTCCCGCCCTGCCCTCTTGTGTCTGCAATGGGAAGCCAGGAAGAGCTTCCTAAAACCGGGAACATCAGCCTGGAAGGAGGGTTGGAGCCGAACTCAACCAGCCGGACGCCGACCCGACAGGCGACCCGATCAGCGGCCGAGCTGTGCCACCACACCCCGTCCCCTGCTCGGTGGCAGGAGGGGTCCTGATCCTGCCGGGGGTGCACCAGGGGCCGAGGGTGGGCGCGGGACAAGTGGTGACATGGCTGGCCCCTCCCCGGGCAGGGGCAGCAGCTTTGGCTCCATCCTCTCCATCCCCTCCATCCCCTCCATCCCTTCCATCCTCTCCATCCCCTCCATCCCTTCCATTCCCTCCATCCTCTCCATCTCCTCCATCCCCTCCATCCCTTCCATTCCCTCCATCCCCTCCACCCTCTCCATCCCCTCCACCCTCTCCATCCCCTCCACCCTCTCCATCCCCTCCATCCCCTCCCCGGCCCCTCTGGCAGCACTTTTGGTGCCTCTTTCATCCTTGTCGTGGTCCCTGTCCCTCCCTCAGCCCCGCAGCAGCCACGGGTTGGGCACAGACACCCCTTCCCCGGGCTGGCACCTCTGGCATCGCCCTCATTCCACTCCCCTGCCTGGGAGGGGGAATCATGGAATCGCAGGTTTGGGGTGGGAGGGACCTTAAAGTTCATCCATGGGCAGGGACACCTTCCATCATCATCCCAGGGAGCTCCAACCTGGCCTTGGACACTCCCAGGGATGGGGCAGCCACAGCTTCTCTGGGAATTCCATCCCAGTCCCTCACCACCCTCCCAGCAAAGAATTCCTTCCCAATATTCCATCTAAATTTCCCCTCTTTCACTTTGAAGCCATTCCCTGTGTCCTGTCCCTCCAGCCCTCATCCCAAGTCCCTCTCCAGCTCTCCTGGAGCCCCTTTAGGCCCTGGAAGGGGCTCTCAGGTCTCCTTGGAACCTTCTCTTCTCCAGCCTGGCCTTGGACACTTCCAGGGCTGGGGCAGCCACAGTTTCTCTGGGAATTCCATCCCAGCCCCTCCTAGCCAAGAATTCCTTCCCAAAATCCCATTTAAATTCCCCCTCTTTCACTTTGAAGCCATTCCCTGTGTCCTGTCCCTCCAGCCCTTGTCCCAAATTCCTCTCCAGCTCTCCTGGAGCCCCTTTAGGCCCTGGAAGGGGCTCCAAGGTCTCCCTGGATCCTTCCCTTCTCCAGGCTGGAGAATCCCACCTGTGTCTCCATAGAAGCTGCACTTTGGAGCTTGGATGGATCCTCCCACCCTCCCCAGTTGCCCCCAGTGACCTCCCACCCCCACCAGCCCCACTCCAAATCCGTGCCCAGATAAGGAAGAAACACAGACCCACTTATAACCCAAAATAATTTTATTGTTGCTGTTGCTTCTGATACAAAAAAAAAAAAAAAAGGAATTCCACAAAGAGCCACCTCTCTGTGTGGACAAGGTGCACAAGGTTTTGGGTTTCCACACTTTTCCCCCCTTTCCCACAAAAAAAAAACCAAAACCAAAAAAACAACAAACCAACCAACCAGCAGAAAATGTCAATACAAAATTAAAAAAAAAAAAAAAACAACAACAAACCAAAAACCAAATCAAAACACCACCCCAGAGAGGAAGGAAGGAAACCTTGAGCTTTTTCATTTGAGATTTTTTTTTTTTTGGCTCAACACACACACACACAAAACCCAGCTCTGCTAATTTATAATTATTAATAGGTTTGGGTTTTGGTTTGGTTTATTTTTTTTTTTTGTTAAAAAAAAAGGCACCTGTTGGAAAACAAAATGAAATAAAATGAAACAAAATAATAATAAAAAAATAAAATAAAAAAAAATAAAAAACCAAAAAAAACCAGCAAAGAAAACCATCCCAAACATCAGGCCACCCATCCTGTCACAAGCTCTGGGGGGGGGACTCTTGTAAAATCCAGAGTCTGGAGCTGCAAAAGAGTTTTCAAGTTTGACTTCAGCCCCCAATACAGTAAACACACACTTCCCCCACCCCCTGGGGACCAGGAAAACCCCACCCAATTCCCCCCAAAAAATAATAAAACCCCCAAAAGCTACAGGAATCTGCTCTCCTCCCGAGGCCCAGGGAGCAGGACTTTGGTGGTTCTCCATAAATATGAGGGGTGGTGGGGGCAGTGCAGCAACGCCGGCGAGCCCGATCCAGCCCCGGCTTCCCGGAGCTGGGAGCACCTCGGGGCTGGGATAAGGTAGTTCCGTGTGAATTAGCACCTTTTATCCATTGGGAACTGCAGAGAGAGAGGTTCATGCAGGATTTAGGGAATGGCAGCGCAGGGAAGGACATCCGGAGGGAGGGGAGGAGGAAAAGCCCGGCTGGAGTTACGGGGGGAAGCAGGGAGCCCTCCTGCCTCTGGATTCCTGTTTTCCACACCCTCTGGAGCGCATCCCATCCGCAGGAACCAGAGACTGTCCGTCTCTGGGGCCACCTTGATGGAGGGGACAACCAGAGGGGAGGGACTCCTGGCCAGGGGGATGTGGCCACAAGCACAGAGCGGCTCCGAGCCCAGGGTTCTTTTGGAAGTGGCTGTTCCTGCCTCTCACCCCGTCCCCATCTTGCTTTTCCCGGGATTTTCATGGCTGCTGGCCATGGAAATGTGCCCCTGCAGCGTGGGATGTGCATCTTCCCAAGCCCTCCACCCCTCTGGCACGGGAAGCATCCCGGTGCTCTCCACCGGGATCACGAGGTGCTTCCCACCAGCTTTGTCCAACCACACCCAACCAGGCACTTCAATCCACCTGCCTTTCCCCAGAGCTCCTCCTCGGGAGGACACCTGAACCCCTGGACTTGCTGGAGCTCTGGGAAAGCCCTTCCAGCTCCACATTTGTTCAGCCTTTCCTGGTGGGAAGACCTGAGGTGTCCCAACAGGAGCCTGCGGTCCCACGGCCTGGCTGCTTTGGGATGTGAGGGGGGCACCCTGAACTGGCCTTTTTGTTCAGAGGGGACCTTTGCTGCTTGAAAGAGGAGCCCCAAAAGCACCAGAGGAGTCTCAAAGGGACCAGAGGAGCCCTAAAAGCACCAGAGGAGCCCCAAAAGCACCAGAGGAGCCTCAAAAGGACCAAAGGAGCCCCAAAAGCACCAGAGGAGTTCCAAAGGGATCAGAGGAGCCCTAAAAGCACCAAAGGAGCCCCCAAAAGCACCAAAGGAGCCCCAAAAGGATCAGAGGAGCCCCAAAAGACCAGAGGAGTCTCAAAGGGACCAGAGGAGCCCCCAAGGACCAGAGGAACCCCCAAAAGGCCAGAGGAGTCCCAAAGGACCAGAGGAGCCTCAAAGGACCAGAGGAGCCCCAAAAGCACCAGAGGAGCCCCCAAAAGGCCAGAGGAGTCCTAGGGGCACCAGTGGAGCCCTAAAGGACCAGAGAAGCCCTAAAGGGACCAGAGGAGCCCCAAAAGCACCAAAGGAGCCCTAAAGGGACCAGAGAACATGGAGAAGACAGCGAGAGACAGAGCACAGCCAGGGCAGGGATGGGATGGTTTCTGCAGCACCATCGTGACAACGCAGAAGCAAAGGAGGAACAAGAGCTGTTGGGAAAGGCACTGACACCAGGCCCTGCCAAAGCTCCTTCCCAAGCTTTCCCCAGGCCCCCCTCACATTTCCCGGGCTGTGGGGTGGGACATGACCATGGAGGCACCCCGTGGCACCACCCTGCCAGCTTGGACAGTGTCTTGGTTGCAGGAGCCAGGAGGGAGCTGAGCAGGGGTGGGGAGTCCCTGCCGGCGAGGGGCTGGAACCTTTGGCGAGGTTTGGAACCCTCGGCAAAGCTCCCGGGAGCTCTCGGTGCGGCTTTGGCTCATGGAGCAGAGCAATCCCAGGTGCTGATCCCAGAAGGACGTTCCCCAGGGGGCCGTTTCCCGGGGTTTCCAGGCGGTGGCAGGAGGGGGGGGCGGCGCGAGAGGAGGAGCCCGTTTGTCCCCGAAGGCGTGGATGGCGAGAGGAGAAGGGCCGTGACTGTCGGGTGGGTGGGTGGATGGATCCCGTGGGGGGGGTTTCTCTTTTTTAGTAGAGCTGGAGCTGGAGCTTCATCCTCAGTGCCTGGCCCAGCTCCCCCGCCAAGTAGTCGAGGTGGTTCTTGGCCTCGAGTTTCTGCAGTTCCCGCCTGCGGTACAAGGGCACGCTCACGATCTCCAGCAGGTACGTGCCGGGCAGGATTTTCTTGCGGCCCAGGTGGAGGAAGCTGAGCCCTTCCTTCTGGTGGATGCGGAAATAGCCCTCCTCGTTGCCCTGGGAGATGAGGTACCGCACCCGGTTCTCCAGGGGCTCCACGGCCGGCAGGAGCTCCAGGATGTGCTCCTTGCGCGCCAGGTCCGACAGGTTCAGGGTCATGGACAGCGGGGCCTCCACGTCCATGCTGGCCAAGTTCACGGCGTGGTCCTGCCAAGGAAGGGGGTGTGTCACTCACAGACCCCCCCAGCACCTCGGGGCCAGGGGGAGGAGGGTGTGATTTTGGGGAATTCTGCCCCAAACCAGCTCTGAGAAGTAACAGCGACTTCCATACGTTCAGCCATTGGAATGGGCTGCCCAGGGAAGGGGTGGATTCTCTGTCCCTGGAGGTTTTTAAGAAGAGACTGGATGTGGCATCAGTGCCATGGGCTGGGAACCACAGCGGGGTTGGATCAAGGGTTGGATTGATGATCTCGGAGGTCCCTTCCAACCCAGCTGATTCTGTGATTCTATGATTCCATGGTTCTATGATTCTCTGATTCCATGGTCCTTAATTTCCTACAAGTGTTTCTCGGTGCCCTGGTTGTGTCTCTGACACTGAACCAGCCACCACACAGCCCTCAGCTGCAGAGGCAGGACCAGGAACTTCAGAGCCTAAAATGACCTCCCAGTCCAACCTGCCAGGGCTGTAAAATTCTTGGGGGAGCCTTGGACAGAGGCCAGAACTCCCTGTGGAGGAATAACCTGTATTTACAGTGACAGGCCCAGCCTGGAGTCAGACAGTGAGTGCTGAGAGCCCTCAGGGACCCTGTGGGAACTGCTCCCCCATCACCTCCCCTCGCTCAGAAACACAGAGTTGGTTTGGGTTGGGAGGGACCTCAAAGCTCATCTCATTCCACCCCCTTGCCATGGGCAGGGACACCTTCCACTGTCCCAGATTGCTCCAAGCCCCGTCCAACCTGGCCTTGGACATTCCCAGGGATGGGAAACACCTGCTTTATCTCTTGGCTTCACGTATCTCCACACATCTGTGGCCAAACCACACAAGTGTGTGTCACCTCAGGGTGTCCCAAACTCCAAAGATCCCCAATTCCCGCAGGACTTGTGGACTCAGGGCCGTCCCCAAACACCCCAGGCGGGTGTGGGGTGAGCTGCTCTGGCTGGACTGAGGCAGGACCCACTATTTCCCAAGTGACCCAGGTCTTGCCTTGCCCCCCAGCCCACCCAGGGTGCCGTGGGGGTCCCACCTGGTGCCTCTCGGTGCCGTTGAGGCTGCGGCGCTGGCGGCCCCTCTTGGGGTAGCCGTTGATCTTGCACTCGTAGCAGGTCTCGGGGGAGAGCAGGTTGTCCTCATCCTCCTCCTGGGGGGCAGGCAGGTAGGGACCTTTCCCAAAGCCCAAGCCAGAGATACAGTGTCTGGGGGCAGAAGAGCAGAGAGACCCAGCTCAGAGCCGTGATCCGAACAGAAGTGTCACCACTGCCCTCGGAGGTTGTCCCAGAGGACTTGTGCTCCAGTCCCTTCCCCAGCCTCGTTGCTCTCCTCTGGACCTGCTCCAGCCCCTCCATGTCCTTCCTGAGCTGAGGGCCCAGAACTGGACACAGCACTCCAGGGGTGGCCTCATCAGTGCTGAGTCCAGGGCAAGAATCACTTCCCTGGCCCTGTTGGCCACCCTGTTCCTGAGCCAGGCCAGGATCCATTGGCCCTCTTGTCCCCCTGGGCACACTCTGGCTCCTGTTCAGCTCCCTGTCCATCCCCACTCCCAGCTCCCTTCCTGCCTGGCTGCTCTCCAGCCACTCTGGCCCAGCCTGGAGCTGCCGGGGGTTGTTGTGGCCAAAGGGCAGGACCCGGCCCTTGGCCTGGTTGAACCTCATCCCCTTGGAATCAGCCCAACTCTCCAACCTCTGCAGAGCCCTCCTGCCTTCCAGCTGCCTCGATTGTTTTGCAACAGCGTCTGGGAAGGTGCAAGTGTCTCCCTTACCCTTGTCCCGCTCGGAAGTAGCCGCCGGGGCAGCCGCACAGGTACCCCCCGTCCGTGTTGGAGCAGCCGTAGCTGCAGGGGCTGCCCCCGGCCGAGCACTCGTCCACGTCCTGGCAGCCCCCGAAGGCCTGGTCGAAGTCAAAGCCCGAGGGACACACGCACTTGAAGCTGCCCAGGGTGTTGTAGCAGGAGGCAGAGCCGCAGGCGGTGGGGCTGGAACACTCGTTCTCGTCTGCGGGGCGGCACAAAGGGGCACAGGCTCAGGGGAGGGCGGGACACGGTGCTCCCACCCCGCCCGGAATTCCCAGCAGGCTCCCCGAGAGCCCAAAAGGCTGCTGGAGGGGGTGGTATCCTGCTGCTGGTGGCAGAGCAGCTTCCTGCCATTCCCTGCCGGGGCAGGGCAGGGGGGTCCATCCCTGGGAAACGTCCCGGTCTGTCTCTGGGGCAGGGCAGGATATCAGTGGGATGAACCCAAACCCAGTGTCAGAGGGGGCTGAGGGGGGTGGAGACGGACTGGGGGCTCGGCTGCCCTCCATCCTGCATCCCACAGGTATGGGATACACCCATAGGAATGGGATAGACCGCGGGTATGGGATACATCCCAGAGGTACGGGATACACCCCACAGCTAAGGGATACACCCCACAGCTAAGGGATACACCCACAGGTACAGGATACACCCCACAGGTACAGGATATGTCCCACAGGTGTGGGATGCACCCCACAGGTATGGGATACACCCCACAGGTACAGGACACCTCCCACAGGTACAGGACACACCCCACAGGTAGGGGACACACCCCACAGGCACAGGATACACCCCACAGGCACAGGACATACCCACAAGCACAGGACACACCCTACAGGTATGGGACATCTCCCACAGGTACAGCATACATCCCATTGGTAAGGGACACACCCCACAGGCACAGGACACACCCCACAGGTATAGGATACACCCACAGGTACAGGATACATCCCATAGTTAAGGGACACACCCCACAGGCACAGGACACACCCCACAGGTACAGGACACCTCCCACAGGCCCAGGACCCCAGTCTCACTCACCCACACACTGGTTCCACTGGTAGTGCTGGACGTAGCCCTGGGGGCAGCCACACCTGTACCCCCCCAGCACGTTCTGGCAGCCGTGCTGGCACCGGTGGTTCCCGTCACACTCGTCCACGTCTGCAGCAAAGTGACACAGGGCAGTGGGACAATGGGACAATGGGACAACAGGACAACTCCCCCTGGGCTGGGGGGCCCTCAGGGACCGGCTGGACCTGCCTGGCACCCTGCAGGGTGCTCATGTGGGGGTGGTTCCGGTGCCCAGTTATGTCCCTGCAGTTGGCAGTGAGGGGAACTCTCAGCCCCAAGGCCTACAGACACCCCTGGGATGGGTTTGGAGTTAAGGTCAGGCCTGGACTCTGCTTCAGGCTGAGCACTGGCACTCCTCAGCAGGTCCCATGGCCAGCTTGAGATCTCTCCTGGTGGGACACAGGACCATTCCTGTCCCAGCTTGGCTGTGGCTGCAGCACTGAGACCTTCATTTCTTTCTCCAAGGGCCGGTGTTTCCCCAGGCAGGTCAGGCACCGACCTCTCCTTCACATCAGGGCTTCCCATGGGGGCTTCTGGTGCCCCACAGACCCTTCTCACAGAACCATGGAATATCCTGAGCTGGAAGGGACCCACAGGGATCACCCAGTCCAACCCTTAGCCCTGCACAGGACACCCCAACAATCCCACCCTGTGCCTGAGAGCGTTGTCCCAACTGAGCTCCTCGGAGACTGTGATGCACCAGGAACTCTTCCCCAGGGGAACACAACTCTGCCAAAGCCCTGGAGACCCAGACCCACCTTCACAGTTGACCCCAGAGCTGTCCAGGGAGAATCCTTTCTGGCACTCGCAGTTGTAGCTGCCCGGGGTGTTCAGACACTGCCCTTTGGCTCCACACAGCGAGGGCTGAGCCGTGCACTCGTTGTTGTCTGCAAAACACCCGCGGTTTGGGGGGCTGGAAAGACTCTCCTGGGCTTAAAACTGACCCCTGGGGATGCTGTGCCCGTGGGAATGTCCTGGTGGTGCCCAGGGGAGCAGGGAATGGCTCTACTCACCGATGCAGGACGAGTGGTGCTGAGTGAAGCCGGGGGGGCACTTGCAGTTGAAGCCCCCGATGATGTTGACACAGAGGAACTGGCAGTTGTGCTGCTTGGTGGAACACTCGTCCAGGTCTAAAGCAACAAGGAAAAGTGTCTCATTTTATCCCCCTGAGGTGTCTTATCCACGTGGTCTCAGCCTGTGACATCTGTGGATACACCTTGGGCACACCGGGACTGGCCTCAGGAACAACACCCAGAGTTCTTCCACGAGAAGAACGAGCCTCTCCCCACCTCAGTGTTATACATGGGCACATCTGGAAGGTGCAGAGACTTCTCCCTGCCTCCCCTGGGATCCACAAATCCCAGAGTCTCCCAGATTCTCAGCCCAGCCTCCTCACACACTGACACTGGGAGAGGTGGGCACAGCCCCAGCCTGGCAGCTGCTGGTGGCACTGACATGCAGGAGACATCCAGGTTGAAGCTCCCTGGAGCTCAGCACAGCTTGGGATAGGCTCTGAGGTCTGTAGGAAAGGGCAAGGAGGATTTTTTTCTCAGATGAGACAAGTCCAGACTGCGGGAGGACGAAACCCTCACCCTCCAGTCCACAAGGGTGGCACTTTTCCCCACGTCTATCCTTGTGCTGTGGCTGAACAGAAGGACCTGAACTGCTCTGCCACGTCCCCCCAGGTGCCAGGGGTGAGGCAGGGTCTCTGCTCCTCCTCCTGGCTGGATACCTTTGCAGATCTTGCCATCCTCCTGCAGGATGTACCCTCGGGGGCAGGAGCACTGGTAGCTGCCTTCTGTGTTCTTGCAGATGAAGTTGCAGGGCTTGGGGGACTGGTTACACTCGTCCAGATCTACCCTCGAGAGACAAGACACATCAGCACCCCCAGGGACAGGACCCCCTCCACCCCTTGGACAGCTCAGCCTGCCCAGGAACTCCTGAACACGAGGTGATCCCGGGTTTTGTGGCACCACACAACTCAGTGGTCAGATATCCCTATGGATTCTGGCACTCCTGGATAAATGCCCTGTTTTCACCCTGCAGGAAGACACGGATTTTGGGGGAGCACCTCAGTTTGAGGCAGCACAACAAGTGTAGGAGATCTCCTGTGATGTTGTAATCATATGAATATGCATTTAATCATCTATGAAAATTGCATAAACCCCCCTGATTTTGTGTGAAACCTTCGAGCGAGTTCTCCGTGGTGCAAACCACGCTCACTCCCGACGTCGGCAATAAACACCTTCGCTGCTCAAAAGATCCAAGAGTCTCTGAGCAGTTCCTAAAACCGGATTTTTTTGGATTCCCAAGGGCTGTCCAGAGGCACGGGATCCCTTTTCCCCACTCACCCACGCAGGCCGTGCCCGTGATGTCGGCGGTGTAGCCCAGCCGGCAGTGGCAGCGGAAGGAGCCGATGCTGTTGATGCACTGCCCGTTCCTGCACAGGTTGGGCAGGACCTTGCACTCATCGATGTCTGGGGGAGGGAGAGAGGGAAGGACCTGTCAGTGCCAAGGTTGCCTCTGTGCCCGCTGCCAGCCCCGTGCCAGGGCAGCTCTGACCCTCCCAGAGCTGAGAACCCGCCCGGAGAACCTCGCAGAGGTTTCGTGTCTGCTCCGGGCTCTGCCCCAGCCTGCACCCACGTCCTCTGCACTGAAAGATGTGGCCCCAGCTCACCTCTGCCATCAGTGGAGTATCCTGGGCCATGGGGACACATCTTCTTGTACTGGGCAGTGCCAGGGAGGGGGCAGAGCTCGCACTGGGGGCCCCAACTGCGCCCGCTGTTGCAGCAGCACTCGGATTTGGTGACCAGGTTGCGGTTGGTGGAGGACATCTGGCACATGGTTTGCAGCACCTCGGTGAAGCAGAACCCTTGGCGGGTGTCTGGGTGGAGGAAAGGGGGATATGAGTCCGGGATCTGAGCCAGTGTCAGCCCCAGGGATGAGGGAGCAGCCTGTGCCAGCGCCAGCATGAAGGGGGTGTGGTTCAGGTGATGCCCCCCAAACCTTCTGCTCAGGATCAAAGAGTCACAGAATGGTTTGGGTTGGAAGGAGCTGGAAGATCACGGAGTTCCAGCCGATGGCACCTTGAAGGTCATGGAGTTCCAGCCCTGGTTTGGGTTGGGTGGCACCTTGAAGGTCATGGAGTTCTACACCCTGCCATGGGCAACCTTCCACTGTCCCAGGTTGCTCCAAGCCCTGTCCAACCCGGCCCTGGACACCTCCAGGGATGGAGCAGCCACAGCTTCTCTGGGTAACCTGTGCCAGGGCTTCCCATCCTCCCAGGGAAGAATTCCTTCCCAATGTACCCCCTAACCCTGCCCAGGGAGGAATTCCTTCCCAATATCCCACCTAACCCTGCCCAGGGAGGAATTCCTTCCCAATATCCCACCTAACCCTGCCCAGGGAGGAATTCCTTCCCAATATCCCATCCAACCCTGCCCTTTGTCAGCATGAAACCACTGCCCCTCGTCGTGTCCCTCTGTACCCACATCACAAGTCCTTCTACAGCTCTCTTAGACCCCCTGAAGCCCCATGTGCTGCTCCAGGCCTGGCAGGATTTGGGAATTACCAATGCACTCGGTGCCAGAGGGACTGACTTCGAAGCCCTCGTTGCAGTCGCAGCGGTAACTCCCCGCTGTGTTCACACAGCGCCCGTTGGGGCAGATCCCAGGCTTGGTCCGACACTCGTTCTCATCTGGGAGGGAGGGAAGGAGAGGGAGAAAGAGAGAAAGATAGAAAGGAAGAAAAGGAAGGAAGGAAGGAAGGAAAGGAGGGAGGGAGGGAGAAAGGGAGAAAGAAAGAGAGAGAAAGAGAGAGAGAAAGAAGGAAGGAAGGAAGGAAAGAAAGGAGGGAGGAAGAAGGGAAGGAGGGAGTAAGAGGGAAAGGGAGAAAGGAAGGAAGGGAGGAAGGAAGGAAGGGAGGAAGAAAGGGAGAAAGAGAGAAAGAAAGGAAGAAAGGAAGAGAGAGAGAAAGAAGGAAGGAAGAAGGAAAGAGAGAAAGAAAGAAAGAGAGAGAGAGAAAGAAAGAGAGAAAGAAGGAAGGAAGGGAGAAAGAAAGAAAAGAAAGAAAAACCCACAAAGAGCTCTGGTGAGGCAAAGAACCAATTCCATGAGCTTTCCACGAGCCCCTGTGCTACCACTCAGTTTGAAATGTCCTCCCAGAGCCCCCGAGGACCATTTCCACATCAGCTGGGAAGCACATCCACCTGCCCTGGACCTCTTCCAAAGCAAGAGTGGTCGAAATTTGGCTTCCCTGGCCTGCACATCCTCCACCTGCCCTGGCCAAGCTGCTGGGTCAGCCCTGGAGTTGGGCTGGCTCCGTGTCCCTGCTGTGCCTGAGCTGAGCAGGGCTGGGCTGCCCAGTGCTGCCCCTTCCCAAAGCAAAGCAGCTCAGGACAGACACAGAATGACCCAAAGGAAAGGTCCCCCCGTGCTGGACTCTGATTCACATGGGCCAGAGGTGAACAGAGGGTTGTGTGTGAAGGCGCGAGCGGGACACCCCAGGGAGGAGGAACGTAAACTTCCACGGGCAATGCCTGGCAGGGAACCATCCCCATGCCCTTGGGAGTCCCTGGCAGCCTGCCCTGGTACCTGTGCAGCCCTCTCCATCGGGCCTGCGCTGCATCCCTGGCGGGCAGATGCACATGAAGGTGCCAATGAGGTTCTTGCACAGCATCCCCCGGGACTCGCAGTCGTGCAGCCCCTCCGCACACTCATCCAGATCTGCAAGAGAGACCCCGTCAGAGCTGCCCCTGGGTGATAGTTCTAGTCTAGACCTTCCTTGGTGACCAGTTTGTAACCAAGGGAGTGGCCATGTTCCCAGTATTCCACACAATTTTTATATAAGCCAAGGTACTGTTCGTGTGAGGCCTAGTGAGGCCTAGTGAGGCCTTGTAGGCCTTGGGAGGCAGAGGGTGCCAGCGGTGCTTGGCACAATTCTGCTATCTCAAGGAGAGTAATAAGATTTTGTTTTGCTAGTTCTTTATTGATTGTTACTGTGCATACCTGCTTCAGGGTTTTTTGGTGCTTTTGTCCCGCATCCCTTTTCCCTTCCCCTCTGGGGGGGTTGTTTGGTGTTCTCTTTTCATATGTACACAGTATTGTAACTGTATATAAACTGTGATATACGTAAATATATATATATTTTGTTGTAGCTCGGTTGGTTTCGGATCTTTCAGTTTCTGTAGTTGTTTTTTTTCCTTTGCCCAAAGGGGAGGGGGGAGGTTTTCACTGTAGCCCGGGGGACTTGGGAAGCCAACTCCAAATAGCTACACCCTGCCAGCCCTGGGGGGCACCAGGAGCACCCACTGCTCCATCAATCCCCGTGGCCTTTGCCCAGGCTGGCTGGGGCACAGTTAAAAAAAAAATCATAGAATCATAACACAGTTTGGGTTGGAAGGGACTTTGAGGCTCATCCAGTGCCATCCCCTGCCATGGGCAGGGACACCTCCCACTAGCCCAGGTTGCTCCACGCTGGCCTTGGACATTTCCAGGGATGGGGCAGGCACTGTGCCAGGGCCTCACTGCCCTGTGAGCAAAGAATTTCTTTCTGGCAGCAAAACCAGTGGGGTGACAGTGGGCACAGGCCCAGCGATGCCAGGGCAGGAGTGCTGCCTTCCCTGCACACAGGTGGCTGAGAGCAGGAGCTGGGGAGGGTTTGGGAGCTTCCTGATGGAGGCAGGAGGGGCTGTTACCTCTGCACATCCTCCTGTCCTCTCGCAGGGCGTATCCAGAGGGGCAGGTGCACTCGTAGGAGCCGAAGGTGTTGATGCAGCGGAAGGCACAGAGCAGGGGGTTCAGGGAGCACTCGTTGATGTCTGCGGGGAGGAGAGAGGAGAGAACCTGCCTTGGTGCTGTCAGGGACAGGGCTGGGCCTCCCCAGGGCAGAGCCACCCTACCCGGGCATCCAGCTCATGAGAACTTTGTTCCACCAAGGCTTCCTGCCGTGGTGGTTGGTTGCAGAGGGACAGACACCAGTGTCTCAGCAGAGGGACAGACACCAGGACTCTCAGCAGAGGGACAGACAGCTGGTGTTTTAGCAGAGGGACAGACACCCGGTGTTTTAGCAGAGAGACAGACACCAGGACTCTCAGCAGAGAGACAGACACCAGGACTCTCAGCAGAGGGACAGACAGCCAATGTTTTAGCAGAGCGACAAGACAGTCGGTGTTTTGGCAGAAGGACAGACACCAGGACTCTCAGCAGAGGACAGACAGCCGGTGTCTCAGCAGAGGGACAGACAGCCGGTGTCTCAGCAGCTCAGATGGGTCCTGGCTCCTTGAGGAGGCAGCCCCTGGATTTTGGCAGGTCTCCAGGCTCCTCCTGGGCTGCAGCCTCAGAGGAAGCAGAAGGAGCCCAGTGCTGATGGAGCCGAGCCCCAGCCGAGCCTTCCCACACCATCCCTTGGGGCTGGCCCGGGCAGTGACCCAGCAGGGTCCCCCCCAGCCCGGTGGCACTGGGGATGAGGGGACAGATGAGGGGACAGTCCCCCCAGCAGTGTCACCTTCACAGGTCATCATGGGCCCCGGCTCAAAGCCCTCGTCGCAGGCGCACTCGAAGCCTCCCACCACGTTGGTGCAGGTGCCGTTCCCGCAGGGATTGCCGATGGAGCACTCGTCGGTGTCTGGGGACACGTCGGGGGGTCAGTGGGGTGGGAAGGGTTGGGGCTGGGTGGTCCCTGCAGCCCCAAACCCCCAAGCAAAGGCAGGAGCTGGGACAGCAGGGGGGCAGGGGAGGAGCGAGGTCCCTCCATCCACCTCAGACACAGGGGGCGAGGAAGGAGGGAACAGGGAGCCCACCCCAACCTCACAGACCCACCCACCACACAGACCTTCATCCACAGAGACCCTCACCCACCACACAGACCCTCACAGACCTCCACCCATCACACAGACCCTCATCCACAGAGACCCCCACCCACCACACAGACCCTCACAGACCTCCACCCATCACACAGACCCTCATCCACAGAGACCCCCACCCACCACACAGACCATCACAGACCCACCCACCACACAGACCCTCATCCACACAGACTCTCACCCACCACACAGACCCTCACAGACCTCCACCCATCACACAGACCCTCATCCACAGAGACCCTCACCCACTCAGACCCTCACTCACACAGACCTTACCCTCACAGACCCTCACCCACAGAGATCCTCATCCACGCAGACCCTCCCTCATGCAGACCCCCACCCACCATGCAGACCCTCACAGATCCCCACCCACCACTCAGACCCTCACCCATCACAGACCCTCACCCACCACACAGACCCCCATCCACCACATAGATCCTCACCCACCACAAAGACCCTCAAAGACCCTCACTCATCACACAGACCCTCACCCACCACACAGACCCTCACCCTCACAGACCCTCACCCTCACAGACCCTCACCCACAGAGACCCTCACCCATGCTGACCCTCTCTCATGTAGACCCCCACCCACCACACAGACCCTCACAGACCTCCACCCACCACACAGACCCTCATCCACACAGACCCTCACCCACCACATAGACCCTCACAGACCTCCACCCACCACACACACCTCACCCACCACAGACCCTCATCCACACAGACCCTCACAGACCCCCACCCACCACACAGACCCTCTCCCAGGCAGCCCCGACCCCCAGAGCCCCGGGCAGACCCTCACCCACGCAGTTGACCCCCGTGTAGTCCAGGTTGTATCCGAAGGGGCACTCGCAGCGGAAGGAGCCGTCGGTGTTGATGCAGGCCCCGTTGATGCAGACCCCCAGGTTCTCCGAGCACTCATTGACATCTGCCAGGGAAACCACGAGGGTGAAACCTCCCACAGCCACAAACAGCCCCCTCAGGACTGACATGAGACACCCAAGTGATCCCTGGAGCTTCAGATTCTCCCTCTCCAGAGCCGGGGGCCGAACCTTTGGTGAGCAGCTGAGCTTGGGAGAGCCCCCAGTCCCATTCCTTCCACCCCTTCCCTGCCTCTGGGATCCAACCCTGCTCTCCAGGAGCCCAAGTCTGGTTGTTTTTAGGCAGCAACACCCCCCCCAACCCCAAATTTCTTGTCATCCCTAGAGCCAAGCTCACCTTCTCGGGTGTCACCTGGGCCTGGGATGGCTCCGTGGCCGTACGGACACAGCTCCTGGAAGGCAACTGGGAGGAAGCAGGAAAGTGAGATCTGCTCACAAGGGATCCCACTCTTGCTTCTAGAGCACGATGGGAGCTTGAGAACCCCCAAAACCCTGTCTGGCTAGAAAAAACCTGTGCCTGCCTTGGGTGTGGAACCATGAAAACATGGAATTGTGAAGGTTGGAAAGCCCTCTAATATCATGGAGTCCAGCCATTAACCCAACACCACCCTGTCCACCACTAAACCACGTCTCCAGGTGCCACATCCACACGTTCTCTGAACACTCCCAGGGATGGGGACTCCAGCACTGCCCTGGGTAGCCTCTCCCAGTGCTTGACCACCCTTTCAGTGAAGAAACTTTTCCTAATATTCAACCTAAACCCTCCCTAGCACAATTCGAGGTTGTTTCTTCTTGTCCTGTTGCTTGTTATCTGGGAGAAGAGCCTGACCCCTACTTGGCTACAACCTCCTTTCAGGCAGCTGTAGAGAGTTTCAGGCAGTTGTGGAGAGAGTTGTGGAGGCCCTGAGGTAACACCAAGGTTGTGGGTTTGACCCTTGGGTGGGCCATTCACTGAAGAGTTGGAATTTGATGATCTTTGTGGGTCCCTTCCAACTCAGAGCATTCTCTGAGATCCCTGAGATGCCCCTGGAGAGCACCAAGAGCAGATCCAAAGCAGAAATAACCCACCTGGTTGCTGCAGCCCCAGGGGATTCTGCAGCCCCAGGGAATTCTGCAGCCCCAGGGAATTCTGCAGCCCAGGACGGGCTCCCAGTTCTCCAGGCATGGACAAACCCCCTTTGCTGGACGCCTTGCCTTGCTGGTTGCCTTCCCTGCCTTTCCCCACACACAGAGCCAGGTCCCAGCCTTCCTACCATTCCCCTCCTGAGGGCACAGCTCGCAGGGATCTCCCCAGCCCTCCCCTGGCATCTTGCTGCAGCAGCACCGAGCCTTGGTGGTGTTGAAGGCCTTGGGGACGGAGCACTTCCCGTTGTCGAAGCGGGTGAAGCAGAAGCTCTGGCGAGTGTCTGCGGGAGGATGGGAGAATTCCAAGGTCACACAGAGGTCCAGGAGGTTCTGCTCCCTCCCCACCACGAGCAGCTGCACTCACCAAAGCAGCGCCGGCCGTTGTCAGACAGCACAAAGCCCGGGGGACAGACGCACTGGAAGCTGCCAGGGGTGTTGGTGCACGTCCCAAAAAGGCAGATGTTGGGCTCCTCTTCGCACTCGTTGATATCTGGGAGGAGCAGGGACACACAGAGCAGCCAAAGGTCACTCCTTTCCTCAGGGAAACAAGGTGAAGGTGATGTCTGGCAGCTCTGATGCCTCATCGCCACGTCCCCAACCTCTAATCCTCCCTCAGAGAAAATGGGGCAGTGAAAATGGGCACAGCAAAAACCTTGAGCCTCCTCTTCTTCTTCTTCTCCCACCTCCATCTGTGAAGGAGATGTCTGGGAGCTCTGATATCTGCAGGATATCATCATGTCCCCAACTTCTAACCCTCCCTCAGAGAAAAAGAGGCAATGACACACAGAGCAACCAAAGGTCACTCCTTTCCTCATGAAAATAAGATGAAGGTGATGTCTGGGAGCTCTGATACCTGCAGGACATCAACCTTACCCCCAACCCTCAGAGAAAATAAGGCAATGAAAATGGGCACAGCAAAACCCTTGAGTCTCCTCTTCTTCCTCTTCTCCCACCTCCATCTGTGAAGGAGATGTCTGGGAGCTCTGATATACCTGCAGGACATCACCATGTCCCCAACCCCAGAAAATGATTCAATGACACACAGAGCAGCCAAAGGTCACTCCTTCCCTCATGAAAACAAGGTGAAGGTGATGTCTGGGAGCTCTGATACCTTCAGGACATCACCATGTCCCCAACCTTGAACCCTCCCTCAGAGAAAAAGAGGCAACAAAAATGGGCACAGAGAACCCCCTGAGCCTTCTCTGCCATGGGAGCAGGTCTTGCCTTGCAAGAAGGTGTTTGGGGGTGGTGATGCACCATCCTAATGATGCCCCAGAGATACCCCAGCCCACCCAGGAAGAACAGGGCTGTTGTGGGAATGGTTCAAGAGGGGGCAGAGGCCCCACATTACCGATGCAGTTGTCGTTCTGCACCTCGTAGCCCGGGGGGCAGATGCAGCGGAAGGAGCCCTCCAGGTTCTGGCAGGTGCCCGGGGAGCAGGTGCCAGGCAGGCTCACACACTCGTTGATGTCTGAGGAGGAAGAGAAATACCCCGTGATGGGGTCTGTGCCCACCTCAGAGGAGCCTCCTGCACCCAAGGCCCCGCCGTGCCCAAAAGGTCTGAGGGAAGCAGGTTAGGACATTTCCCAGGGCATCCCTGGTACAGCTCTGCAGGTTTTAGGGGCATGGACAGAGCATTTCTCCTCACTGCACGTGGAAAGGTGCAGGTTTGACTGTTCCCTGCCTTGCTGGAAGGGAGATGAAGGCAGAGAGGGACTCAGTCCAGCTCTCCAGGGGCACTCAGATGAACCAGGCTTTGGTTCCAGAGGACTTGGGACTTGTGGCAGAGGATCTGCGAGCGGTTCTGGAGAATCCACTGCTCAGCTGGCTGGGATGGGCCCGGCCTGGGCACCACATCACCCAGCACCAGCTCCCCCCACTGCTGCCCAGACACTCACCCACACAGTTCTTCCCGTCAGGGGTCCGGTCGTACCCCTCCTGGCACAGGCACTGGAAGGAGCCGACGCTGTTGATGCACTGGCCGTTCCGACACACCTGCCCCACCAGGGATGAACACTCATCAATGTCTGTGGGAGGGAGAGGACAAGCAAAACAGGAAGAGATGCAGAGCATGAGAGTGTCACCCCCACCAGCCCCGCACCTCCGGCACGTCCGGCCCCCGCTCCGGCCGCCGCTGACCCCCGGCGTGCCCACCTGGCACATCCCAGCAATCCCTGGGCTCAGCATTCCAGGGAACTCACCCATGCAGTCGTTGTTGTGTGTGAGCTCAAAGCCAGGGAAGCAGAGGCAGTTGTAGGAGCCGACTGTGTTCTTGCAGGTCCCGTTCCCGCAGGGCTGGCGGTCGCACTCGTCGATGTCTGCGGGGAGAAGGTGGTGGGGGACGGGTGAGGGGACACTCCCGGGTGTGCAGGCAGTGCCCAGGGGGCTGCACAGCACCAGGGGCAGCCTGAGAGGACACTGGAGCCCTTGATCGTGCTTGGCACCGCTCAGCAAAGTGTCAGAGAGAGCTCCCATCCTTCCTCATGGCTGATTCCCACATGGACTGTGGCCCCACACTGACCCAGGGACACGGTCTGTGGTCACACAGCGACCCATGGGCATGGACTGTGGCCCCACACTGACCCCTGCACGTGGTGTGTGGCCCCACACTAACCATGGATGTGGACTGTGACCCCACAGTGACCCACACATATGGACTCTGGCCCCACACTAACCCATGGACATGGTGTGTGGCCCCACAGTGACCCAGGAACATGGTCTGTGGTCACACACTGACCCCTGCACATGGTCTGTGGCCCCACACTGACCCCTGCACATGGACTGTGGCCCCACACTGACCATGGACATGGACTCTGGCCCCACACTGACCCACACACACAGTCTGTGGCCCCACACTGACCCCTGCACATGGTCTGTGGCCCCACACTGACCCACATGTGGCATCACACTGACCCAGAAACACAGTCTGTGTCCCCACACTGACCATGCACGTGGACTGTGGTCCCACACTGACCCATGGGCATGGTGTGTGGCATCACACTGACCCATACACATGGACTGTGGCCCCACACTGACCCACACACACGGTCTGTGGCCCCACACTGACCCACACACACGGTCTGTGGCCACACACTGACCCCTGCACATGATGTGTGGCCCCACACTGACCCCTGCACATGGTGTGTGACCCCACACTGACCCCTGCACATGGTGTGTGACCCCACACTGACCCATGCACATGGTCTGCTCCCCCGTGGCCTTGAAGCCGTTGTGGCAGATGCAGACGTAGCTGCCCTCGGTGTCCACGCAGTCCCCGTGGCTGCACACGTTGGGGATCTCCTGGCACTCGTTGCGACCTAAAACGGAGCCAAGTGGGCACTGGTGAGCAAAAAGGAGGGACCAGGTGGGAAGAGCAGAATCACAGAACATGCCCAGTTGGAAGGGAGCCACGAGGATTGTTGGGTCCAGCTCCTGGCCCTGCACGTGAACCCACAAGATTTACGCACTCAAAAAACCAAAATTCCGTGTAATTGGAAAACGTGGCCCGAGCTGCACTTCACAGTGGCCTTTTCTCATCCCTCAGGAGCCCACAATCCTTGGGAATTGCACCAGGAAGTCCAGATGTGCCATAACCACAGCACAGCCAGGTCAGAGTCCCTGGGGAGTGACAAAAGAGCAACAGGGGACTGGCATGTCCTTCGTGTGCCAGGCAAAGCATCACCAGCTGGGTGAGGGAGGGGGTTGTCCCGCTCTGCTCTGCCCTGGGGAGGCCTCACCTGGAATATTGTGGCAGTTTGGGGCACTGCAAGAAAGATCTGAAGCTCTTAGAGAGTGTCCAAAGGAGGGAATGTGGGGAAGGGCCTTGATTTGAAGTTGTGTGAGGACACTGAGGGCACTTGGTGGGTTCAGCTGGAGAGGAGGAGACTGAGGGGAGAGCTCAGGGCAGGTACAACTTCCCCAGGAGAGGAAGAGCAGGGACAGCACTGTGGGGACTCCAGGGAATGACCTGGAGCTGTGTCAGGGCTGGGTTGGGTTGGATATTAGAAAAAGGTTGGATATTAGAAAAGGGTGGTATATTAGTAACACGGTTGGATATTAGAAAAGGGTTGGAGATTAGAAAAAGGTTGGATATCAGAAAAGGGTTGGATATTAGAAAAGGGTTGGATATCAGAAAATGTTGTATCTCAGAAAACGGTTGGATATCGTAAAGGTCACGTATGTCTTTCTTGAGGATCTCAGACAAATGGTTTGTCATTTAAGAAAACGTTTGTTGAATATTAGACCAATCCGGGTTTGGATTATTTAGAAAAAGGGTTGCTATATTAGAAGGTACAAGGGTTTCGGATCATCAGAAAAAGGGTTCGTATATTCAGCAAACTGGGTGGTTTTGGTATGATTAGACATTAAGGGTGGCTATAGCAAAAGAGCGCGCGCACGCACGGCGACACACGCACGGCTCCACAGGGCAGGGGCCAAGCCCCACGGCTGCCAGAGCTCCAGGAGGGTTTGGATGGACCAGGAGCTGAACTTGACCCCTTCCACTTTGGCACATTCTGCAATCCTGTGACCACAGGGGGTGCTGTGCCAGCCCAGCCCCTCAGGCAGGGGGGGTGTGTGTGGAATAGGTGGCACAGGGGTGCCCTCTTACCCACGCAGGCCCCACTGGGTGACAGCTTGTAGCCCGTGGAGCACTCGCAGCGGTAGCTGCCCGGGATGTTGATGCAGTCGGCGTTGCGCTGGCACAGGTTCTCCCCACTGCTGCACTCGTCGATGTCTGTGCCAAGGACAGGGAGGGAATCACGCCTGGCACCGGGGGTTGGCACCAAAAACATCGGGGGAACACCGTGGGAGGGGGGATCCACCGGGATAAATCGAATTTTCCCGTTATTTTTAGCGTTAGGAAGCGGGCGGTGCTTCGGTTTTAGGGAGCACAGACAGGGGTGGTTCCACACAGAGACCCCCCACTTCCCAAACTTCTCACTGTTTATACTTTGTTAGCAATGAAATCAGGGTTAATTTCCTACAAATTCTCTTCATTGTTATCAAGGAAATCAGTGTTAATTTGCTATAAATTCTCTTCATTGTTAACAATGAAATCAGTGTTAATTTGCTATAAATCCTCCTCATTGTTAACAATAAAATCAGTGTTGATTTGCTATCAGTGTTAATTTGCTATAAATTCTCTTCATTCTAAGCAACGAAATCAGTGTTAATTTGCTATAAATTCTCTTCATTCTTAGCAATGAAATCAGTGTTAATTTGCTATAAATTCTCTTCATTGTAAGCAATGAAATCAGTGTTAACTTTCTATAAATTCTCTTCATTTTTACAAAGGAAATCAGTGTTAATTTGCGATAAATCCTCTTCATTAATTGCCTAGCAATTACATAATTCCCCCCATTAATTAGCATTCTATCTCTACTGCTTCTTGATTTCTCACTTCTCGTGCCCACATTTGCAGCCTTTTTATTCTCTTTTTCCCAGACAGAAATGCTGAATTATCTTTATTAGTTCCTGCTTCATTTCTGCTCTCTGCAACGTGTCCTTGTGGTCCATAAATTCTGCATTCCTGGTGTCCAGTTCTCAGCAGCATTTCCCTCCCCCAAGGCTTTGGTCACCCAAGTGTGTCGAGGTTGGTTTAGCAAAACTTCACGTTTGGGTGATTCCTCCCCAAGTGTGCTCCCACAAGAGCAATTACACCGCTCATGATTAATGAAACCAATTAATTAGAAAAGTTATCAGGGTAGTTTTAGCATTTCCAACACTGCTGGAAACTCCTGGGAGGGCTGGAGGGGCTCAGTGCAGTCAGTTGAGCTTTAACCCTTGGTTTGCTCCAATCTGGGTCGATTTTCAACCATTTCCTGTTGCTTTGTGATTAAAAAATAAGGGGAATTTTAGTTTGAAAGGCTGCTGTTTGCACATTTTTTTAAAAAAAAACCCAACAAAACACAGAATAAGGGGAAAATCAAGAACATGAATGTAAATCATCATTTTTTTATCCGACCACCGAGGTGGTAAATGAAGATTTCAAGAATTTATAGAATTGTGGAATACCCTGAGCTGGGAGGGACCACAAGGATCAGCAAATTTGCAGATGACACCAAGCTGGGGGGAGTGTCCATCAGCTGGAAGGCAGGAGGGCTCTGCAGAGGTTGGATCCAGGGGCTGATTCCAAGGGGATGAGGTTCAACCAGGCCAAGGGCCGGGTCCTGCCCTTTGGCCACAACAACCCCCGGCAGCTCCAGGCTGGGCCAGAGGGGCTGGAGAGCAGCCAGGCAGGAAGGGAGCT